AAATAAATAAATAAATAAATAAATAAATAAATAAATAGTAATAAATAAATTCTAGACATAATCATCTCTGACCATAGCCCACCAATGGTCATTTTCTTCCTGAATTACCACACCAGGGCCACATCTACCAAACTGAAGATTCTCCTGGGCCGTCTGGGAACTCACCTGCCTCTGCATCCCGCTGCTTGTCTGGGGGATTACATTATCATTCCTGCACTACAGATGCATAATTGAGATCCAGAGGATGAGGGGCTGAGATGAGGGGCGGGTCTGAGGACACCCAGCCTGAGCTGCAAAGCGAGGCCAAGGCCAGCCTGACTACACAGCAAGACTCTCTAAAAACATGTACAGATTGTGAAGGGCCGTAGGGGAGCCCTGATCACCCCTAGTCTCCCTGAGCACTGGCAGGAACCCTAATTCAGCCAGGGGTGCCTTTCTTGGGGGGCTCAGGATGTCTTCCAGCAGGGTGCAGACAGGGCAGGTGCCCACAGGGTGGTGGGGTGGAGCGCGTTACCTGGCCCTGGCAGGGGCGGCCACCCCCAGGCGGCCTTTCAGGGTCTGCAGCTGCCCGAGTGCCCTGGCGTGGTCGGGTCGCTGTGAGAAGCCCTGGGGTCCCAGCAGCTGCAGCTCCTGCTCCAAGTGCTCCAGCTGGCGGTAGAGGTGCTGCCTGTGAGCGGCGTCCTTCCAGAGGTCCCTCAAGGCCAGCTCGGGCCTGGGGCACTGTGTGCTCTCTGGGGGACAAGGAGAAAGTGATCACCCAGTGCTGAGGGACAGTGGGCAGGTGGGCTGGTCGTCGTGAAGGGGACAGCAGTCACTCAGGAGCTTCCAGCTCAGGGCCAGCTGCAGGGAATTCGGCGCAGAGGGAATGAGGTTTTAAGGTCCCAAAGCCACTGGGATGGGAATGTTTTCCTTTTAGCTTTTCTTTTAGCCTTTTGTCAGGGACATTTTCCAAACTGCCATGAGGGCTATCTTCTGGCCAACTTCACCTCATCTCTCTTCCTCCCGGGGGAAAAAAAAATATATATTTTTGGTTTTTTGAGAGGGAGCCTCACTATGTAGTGCAGGCTGGCCTTGAACTCAATATGTAGCTGCGGGTGGCCTCAAACTTGAGGGGATTCTTCTGCCTCAGCCTCCTGAGTGCTAGGATTACAGTTGTGCATCTGCAAGCCTAGTTTAAAAAAAAACAAAAAACTGTTTTTGTCTTTTTTGAAACAGGGTCTAGCTATGCAGTTCAGGTTGGCCTTGAGCTCACTTTGTAGCCCAGGGAGGTATCAAACTCAAAGATCCTTCTGCCTCAGTCTCCCGAGTGCTTGTAGTCAGGCCCAGCCTGAAGTTTTTTTCTTAAAGCACTTTTTGGGAGTGGCAGCATCTCATTAGGCAGTCCAGACTGGCCTTGAACTGCCTCTCTAGCCCAGGATGGCTTTGGACTTGCAACCCTGCTGCTTCAGCCTCTAAAATCACGTTTTTGTTGGTTTATTTAATGTTATAGAGGTAACATATCTTTAGAATAATGGGAAAATTTTGAACCACTATGCTTGTTGTGCCTTCTGAGAGAATGGTCCGTGCGCTGGCACCCAGGAAGAGACATGCTATCCACAGCGGGAAGGGCTGGGCTTGGGCCTGTGCTCCTCTTCCAGGGCTGTGTGCGACTAGACATGGGAGAGGGCCAAACCGAGCTCCATCTGTGACCCGCCAGATCCCAGGAGAGACCAGAAGGAGCCTTGTGGGCGGAGATGCGCGTGCATGTGTACAAGCTTGTGCAGGAGCGTGCGTGCACAGCAGGCAGTCTGCTGAAGAGAGGCAGACACGAGGCAAGGTCTGCCTGGCCTGACAGTGTCCTTCCTCCTGGTTCCCCACAGCCTCTGGCAGAGCCCGGAGCCCACACCCTCTGTGTCGCAAGCTTCCCAGAATGTTTCAGAAGACACCAACTCTGACAACTCTAGTGCCACCGACTGAATACCCGCTTTGTGTCTGGCCAGGGCATGAGCCTATGATCTCACCCGGTCCCTGCAGCACGCCAAGCCAGGTGGCCCCATAGCCCTGGCTATTGCAGAGGAGGACACTAAGTCTCCGAGAGGTTGAGCAACCTCGCCCAAGTTGAGCAGCGGTGACTGCAGCCAGGCGGCTCCAGGAGTCTGGCTGTATTCTGAAGCCTGTCACACTGGGAATGCTACTGCCCATGGAGCGCTGCCCTGCTGAGGTAACTGTCACAGGCAGTCGTGACCAGCCGCTTGCTCCAGATGGAGGCCAGTCAGGAGCTGTAGGACTGGCAGTGCTTTAAGTCCACCAAGCACAGGGCTGTCAGGCGTCCATCTTTGGGAGGCCCCATGGAGTGGCCCTGGCAGCTGGGTCTGCAGAGCGCCACAGGTTGGACCTAAAAGGTCCTCAAAGGGTTGAAGGTTTGGCCACCAGCCTGTAGTGCTAGTGGCTTTGTTTTGTTTTGAGACAGGGTCTTGGGGCTGGGGAGCTAGCTCAGTAGAATAAGCGCTTGCCTAGCAAGCATGAGGGCCTGAGTTCAATCCCTGGTTCCGGAAAAAAAAAACCCAAAATAAAAACAAAACAAAACAGGATCTTGGGGCTGGTGAGATGGCTCAGTGGTCTAAAGCACCTACTTAGAACAAGTTTAGCAAAGCACCTGGACCGCAGTTCAATCCCCCAGCACCACATGCCAGCCAGCCTGCCCCCTGGTGGGCTGAGCTGGCCACACACACACACACACACACACACACACACACACACAAATAAATAAAAAAAAAAAAAAAAAAAAAAAAAACCCCAAAAAAACAGGATCTTGCTGTGCAGTTCAGGCTGGTCTTGAACTCACAGTGATTCTTTTGCCTCAGCCTCCCCAAGTGCTGGGACGACAGGTGTGCGACACCATGCCTAGTTTTTAATTAGGAGACTTGAAAGAGAACAGAGAAATGGTTTTCAGCCCATTTTTATACTTCCCTCAACCTCATCGCCCTGGATCTTGGGTCCCGCCCCACACATCTAGAAGCAGATCCAGCTTCACTCTGCAGCCCCTGACACTGTACAGGAGGAAAGCTGAGGCTCAAAGAGGAGAGGCAGCCCGCCCAAGGTCACAAGAGTGGCACAGAAGAGCCCATTCCAGAGCTGAAGGGAGCCAGGGGGATGGTCCCCACATCCAGTAGCTCAGGACAGAGCGAACTTTAAAGGCCTTTTCCTGCATCTCCTCATGCGGCCAGGTGCAGGGTGTGAGGAGGCTGAGGGGACAAATGGCACTGACAGAGTCCCAGGCCCCCAGTGGGAGTAAAGGCTGAAGTGAAGAAAGGGACCAAAGAGTCCAGATTGGCTCAGGTGTGGCTTGGCATCATGGGATGGCAGGCGGCCATGGTGTGGATTGGAAGATGCAGTCCAGTGCCTGACCCACCAGCTTGCAGACACGGCCATGTCTCCACTGGCCCTAGAAGCTGCTGCTCTGGGCAAGGGGTGGCCAGTACACACCTGTCATGGGAGCAGACCTGAGGGCGACAGCCAAAGCGCCCTCTCTCCCACTGGCTTCCTCCTGACATCCCCGCTCTGCTGGGCTTTGAGGTTGAAGGCTGTCTTCCGCCAAGGCCAGCAGTGTGTTGATGTCCCCTGAACTCAGAGAGTCCCAGCTGGAGGCCCCCGAAGGCAGCTTCAGGGCTCTGCACAGAGAGCTGATGAGTCGCCGTGTGTCCTGCAGAGAGACAGATGGAGATGGCATGAGCTGCCAGCAGGGAGGGAGTGTGGCCTGGGAGTCACAGCATCTGGCTGGAGAGGTGGCCTTGACCTCCCTTGAGGCCTGTGCTGTCCCTGCTAAGATCCCTGAGTCCAGGTGAGTTCTGCAGAGTGGGGGCAGGGCAAGAGCTGGGGGAAAGGTTGTGGGGTTGCTGGGAAAGTGGTGCTCTCAGCTGCGACCTCAAAGCCAGCCTACGCAACTCAGGAAGACCCTGACAGAAAGGAAGGAAGAAAGAAAGAGGAAGGAAGGAATGAAGGGGGGGAAGAAGGAAGGGAGGGAAAGTGTGGGAAGCCGTTGACTGGTATCCATTTTATAATAGGGTCAGCCATTTTCTTAAGTTTCTATTCCCCTGCTGAGTTAAGTTTCTGCTCCTTCCCGCCTTGCCCATTCCCTGTGAATCACGTGCTATGCCCCAGGGGTGGGACCTTCCTGTCATAGCCCGGTTGCCTAGTTACTCGCGCCTTTTACCCGGGTCATTTCCCCATGCCTCCACTATATATACCTAGAGTTTCCTTTGAATAAACGAGACTTAATCAGAATCCTGTCTTGTCTCCATTTCTCACATCTCCTGTCCTTTGTCCCCTCCTCCATTCCCCGCTCCTCTCCCAGGTGATCTTTGGTGACTGACCCGCTGGATGGAACAAGTGGTGCCCAACGTGTGGGGCACCTGGTACGGAGGATTCAGCGACAGAACCGTCCGAGTGAGCACGCAAGAGTGAAAGTAAAAGAGGCCCGCGCCACAGTTGCCTGCTACGATGTCTGAACCTCGGTAAGCGGACGGCACCCCCTTTCCCTTTTCCTTTGGCAATGGGACAGGCATTAAGCAAACATGAGATAGTTGTTGAAAGCTTGAGTAAAGCATTAAAGGCGCGAGGAGTAAAGGTTAAAATTAAGGATTTGTGTCAATATTTTGAATATATTAAACAAGTTTGCCCACGGTTCCCTATTGAAAGAACTATTGATCAGAGGCAATGGAAAAGGGTTGGTGATGCCCTTAAGGATTATTATGACTTTTGGACCTGAAAAGGTCCCAGTTACAGCCTTTTCCTACTGGGATTTAATTGATGAAATCTTATCCCAGAGACACTGTGACCCGGTTGTTGCTAATGTGATTTTTAAAAAGGGTGAAAATATACTGCAGGGACAAAAGGGTAGAGCCCATCTTGGAGGGCAAGGGGCCGGGGAGATGGCTTAGTAGGATAAGCACTTGCCTGGCAAGCACAAGGTCATGAGTTCAATCCCCAGTACCGCAAAAAAAAAAAAAATGCTGAAAGGATAAAAAAATATATCCCAAACTACCAAAACCTCTTCAAGTTGAAGCCGATTATAATGAAGTTGATTGGGACGAACTGGCGGAGGAAGCCGCTCGGTATCAGGGCCGAGACGGGCCGCCCGAGGTTCAGCGCCCTCCGCCATGTAGCTCGGATCCCAGCGCCTCCTTCGGCGTGTTCGGCCTCTGACCCCAGAAAGGAATTAATAGGCAAAACTGAACTTCTCAAAGAACAGATAAAATTAGAGAAAGAGCAGGAAGACCTCATAATCCAATTAGAAAGATTAAAATCAGGAAAACCCAAAAATAAAAATATAACCAGACCAAAGGCCCCCTGTGTTCAAAGGCTACCCGTGAGGGGCGCTATCCCCAAAAGCTTCCTCCTGTTAGACCCACTCATAGATCTAGATGAGGCAGAGGTTTTTCCGGTATCAGAAACAACAGGCGCTCAAGGACAGATTTGGCGCCATTACACTAGTTTTGACTTTAAAGTACTAAAGAAACTAAAAACGGTGGTTGCCCAATATGGAGCCACGGCTCCATACACCACAGCTATTTTAGAAACTGTGGCTGACAACTGGCTTACTCCCGAGGACTGGCAGGCATTAGGCAGAGCCACCCTCTCCGGGGGGCGGGGTATCTCCTATGGAAGTCTTCCTGCGTGCAGGGAGGCATCCACAATGATAGCTTCACTGCTGATGGTGGATTTGTTACCTTCACCAGCTGCAATCAAATATTTAACTACAGTAGCCCTATTTGCCCAAAAAAGGGACATGTGTTTGTATGTGGGGGAAGTTTAGCCTTCACATATTTACCTACCAACTGGACAGGACTGTGTATCATGGCAATTGTATTGCCTGATATAGATGTCATATCTGGAGAAGAGCCCATGCCCATTCCTAGTTTTGACTATGTCACAGGCCGCACTAAAAGGGCAGTTCAGCTTATCCCTTTGTTGGTAGGACTGGGAATTACAGGAGCCCTAGGAACAGGCACAGCAGGGTTGGGAGTAGCAGTACATTCTTAACCAAATTATCTAATCAGCTGATTGATGATGTTCAAACTCTGTCTGGTACTATCCAAGATATCCAAGACCAGATAGATTCATTAGCAGAAGCAGTCTTGCAAAATAGGAGGGGCTTAGACCTTCTAACAGCAGAGCAGGGAGGGATCTGCTTGGCTTTACAGGAACGCTGCTGCTTCTACGCAAACAAGTCCGGTATTGTTTGAGATAAAATAAAGAGACTTCAAGAAGATCTTATTAAGAGGAGAAGAGAGCTATTTGAAAACCCTTTCTGGAGTGCATGGAATGGAGTACTACCCTACCTTCTCCCCCCATTGGGACCCTTGATTGGACTATTAATACTTTTATCAATAGGACCCTGTCTTTTCAGTAGGTTGATGACTTTCGTTAAACAATTAAAATGCAACCCATCCAGGTCCATCACCATAGGCTTGAGATGGCTGACAGAGAAAGTTGTGCTGAACTCGAAAGAGTACACTGCGATGATGCCCAATCCGGGTAAAGAGATTTTCTCACCTTGGCGCGATGGACTGGATAGCCAGAGATGGACAATTAGAGGCTCACATGCGGTACCGACCGCCACCTAAGACAGGAACTGGGCCTTCCGCTGCCCTGCTTTCCTATGACGGGAAAGGTCTGGTTCAGCCCCACGTGAAAGCATCTTGACCCAAGACAGGCACAGTCCCCTCAAGGAGTAATGGCCTTTGGAGTTAAAGTAAAAAGGGGGACCTGTGGGAAGCCGTTAACTGGTATCCATTTTATAATAGTGTCAGCTGTTTTCTTAAGTTTCTGTTCCCCTGCTGAGTTAAGTTTCTGCTCCTTCCCGCCTTGCCCATTCCCCATGAATCACGTCCTAGGCCCCAGGGGTGGGACCTTCCTCTGTTGCCTAGATACCTGCTGACCCCCTAGAGCCGAGACTTCCTCATTCCTACACTCCCTATATATACTCAGCACCTCCCCTGAATAAACAAGACTTGATCAGAATCCTGTCTTGTCTCCATTTCTCGCGTCTCCTGTCCTTTGTCCCCTCCTCCATTCCCCGCTCCTCTCCCAGGTGACCTTCGTTGACTGACCCGCTGGATGGGATAGGAAAAGAAGAAGAAAGAAAAGAAAGGAAGAAAGAAAGGAAAGACAAGAGGAAGAAAGAGATAAAGCGGGGTTAGAAGGAAAGAGAAAAGAAACAAAAAAGATACTGGATTATTGTAAAAATTAAATGAGATTATATAAATAAATAATTTTTTCCAATAAGTAAAAAAAAAAGAAAAAGAAAAAGAAAAAAAAGAAAGAAAGAAAAAGAAAAAAAAGAAACAAAAAAAGAAAGGGGCCAGGGATATAGCTCAGTGTCACAGTGCCTGCCTGGCAAGTGAAAGGCTGTAAGTTCAATTCTTGGTGAAAAAAAAAAAAAAAAAGAAAGAAAGAAAGAAAAAGAAAAAGAAACAGGAGGAGAAGGAGAGGAGAAAAAGCAGAAGGGGCTGGGGGTATAGTCCAGTGTAGCCTAGCATGTGTGAGGCTCTGGGTTTAATCTCCAGCCTACAAAAAAAAAGGAAAACAAGGGCGTGTAGGGTATCCACCTATGACCCCAGGATTCTGGAAGACTGAGACAAGAAGACTGAAATTTTGAACCCAGCCTGGGCAATTTTGGCCTTTGGCAAGCCCCTGCCTCAAAATAAAAAAAATACAAAGATCTGGTGATACAGCTCAGTGAAAAGGCTCTGCGTTCACTCCCCAGGACTGGGGAGGGAATAGTAGACAGAGACAGATGAGAAATGGGGTGAAAGAAAAGCACCCCTTGGGGCCGGGGAGATGGCTCAGTGGAATAAGCGCTTGCCTGGCAAGCGCAGGGGCCTGAGTTCAATCCCTGGTTCCGAAAGAAAGAGAGAAAGAGAGAAAGAGAGAAAGAGAGAAAGAGAGAAAGAAAGAAAGAAAGAAAGAAAGAAAGAAAGAAAGAAAGAAAGAAAGAAAGAAAGAAAGAAAAGAAAGAAAGAAAAGCACCCCTCTCCCGGCTGAGGTAGAGCACCTGCCTTGGTCACTGCTTCAGGGGTCACAAGGCCATCGTCCATAGGCTGAGGTGACGGGACTGGAGCGGGGCTCCCAGCACCCTGCCCCTTCGGGCCCCGAGGCCGGGCGTGGCGGAAGATCTGGACAATCAGGAGGTTGAGGGGAAACACGAGCAGGGAGCTCTCCAGCCCGATCATCACCTCCTGCCATGTGAACTCGATGTCACCTGGGGAGCAGGCCCGAGGGTCACGGAGAGAGGCAGCAATCAGAGCCCTGTCCTCCCACCCCTTCTACCGGGTGGCCACCCAGTGAAGGACCAAGGGACACAGCCCCAGGGGGTTCCTGCTAAGCCCCGGGTGCAGTGCCCAAGCCAGATGTCCTCCTCTACCCAGGACCTGGCCACCCCCAGGTCGTCTACGCTACCAGTGTGAGAAGGTGGCTGGGCCAATGGCCTCAGTGTGACCTCTGGAGGGGCTGGAGGCTGAGGACAGCCATGGTGACATCACTAAGCTCCCAAGAGTATTCAGGGCTGTAGTGGCGGCCCCTGGCCACAGCCTTGCCCAGGACCACAGACAGCAGGAGCTACCCAGGTCCATCTTCTGCTCAGCAGGGTCCTTGGGGACGCCCCAGAACATGATGCTGGCCAGCATGGTGCAGAGGAGCAGGGAGAAGCAGCAGGACACCCTCTGCACCCGTGTGAAGCGGCTCCGGGCCGAGCTGCTGAAGATGGAGTACCAGAGGTGGCCTTCTTGGAAGCCTGTGGACGTCTTCAGGAAGAACAGGTGGCTGTGGGGCCAGAAGATGGGGCCAGGAGTTAGGAGGCAGGGAGGGGCTGGGAGTGGTGGCCCAAGCCTATCATCCTGGTGCTCAGGAGGCTGAGGCAGGTATGAAGTACCTGAACTGCTTCCGGTCCTGTTCCGTGGCCACCGGAAACACCTTGTCCAGGACACAGTCTCCCACATCCACTGACAGCCAGGAGTTACAGAGGAAATGCCACCTCTGGCCCGTCGCTGGGTCATGGACCAGCACCCGGCTCACATACCTGGAAGGGAACCCGGAGGGTAGAGGACAAAGTGTGGGGTCTGAGCCTTCCCTGGACACCATGAAGGCAGTACCTTTGCAGACCTGAGCCCAAGGAAGTAGCCCCTGCCAAGGCTGCATGTTCATTCTCTGCCCTTTGCCTTGATCAGAACTGAAGCTCTGTGGGGGGCTCAGGCAGCACCCCTGGGAACTGGGAGCCCCTCTCTGCCTGGGGAACCCGGCTAGGGCAGTGACGGCCCTGAGCGGTCAAGTAACCCATGGGAAGTGCATGTGTGCGGACAGGAGCACAGGGGCCCTGATGTTGTCGCAATTCTACCTCCACTGCGAGGCCACCCTCTCTCTGGGGTTCAGGAACTGTGTGGGTGTCTCATAACCTGAGTCAGGTCCGTTAGGCCAGGGCCAGGGGAGGATGTGAGGTCACTGTGCCTGTCCTGTAAGATTGGACCCAGCAGTGGCTCACCAGGGTCTCCTGTGTAGTTCAGGCCGGTCTTGCAATCACTAGGTGCCCCAGACTGGCCTCAGACTTCAGGTAACCCTCCTGCCTTACCCTCCTGCGTGCTGGGAGGACAGCACACTCTGCAGGACCTGGGCATCTTGGTTCCATTTGGGACAGCTGCAGAGCTTCAGATGAGGGAGGGGCTGGGCAGTCTGGCCTGCTGCTAGCATGGCTTGCTGTGTCCCTCTGTCCATCCGCCCTGCTACTCTCCCTGGGCTCTTCATGGGCTCCCTGCTCTTGCACCTCCATCTCAGCCTCTCTTCCCAGGAGCCACCCAATAGCTAAGGCACTCAGTACTAAGGTTGAATCCCTTGGCTGCATAAGAGACAAGGGAACAAACGCTGCCTGCCGGCTGCCCAGGGCCCCTCTGTCTGGCTCCTCCTGCCCAGGCTACGAGCCTCGGCCTCGGATGCAGGGAGGACTTCGCATGTGCAGCTGCATGAACTGGCAAGTCTCAGGCCCATGCTGCTAAGGGTGGGCAGATGCTGGGCACTAGGAGTGTGCCGTTCACGCTCCTCTAGCTACTGATAGATCGTGTGGGGCAGGCCCAGGGCCTCTTGGACCTTGGCCTCCTCACCTGTGAAATGGGGATTCCTGGTGTGCCTAAGGACCCTCCCCAGCCGGACTGTGCTCCTGCCAACTCACCAGGATGGCCGGTCCCCAGAGTTGTCGTGCCACAGTCGGAGGCTCTGCAGCTCCCCCAGGGGGAACAGGGTGGACAGCAGGAAGATGTCCACTCCTCCACGCTCCAATCCGGGGCACGCAGGGTCTGACAGGTGGTGTGGCTCACTCTGTCCATCCAGGCCATAGAGGGTGATGGTCACCTGAAATCCAGGGGCCAGGGTGTCCACGTTCATGTGGGAATGGAGCCCACTGACCTTGCTTCATGGGAGGTGACCAGAAGCCAGTGAAGGCAGCCCGTTCCACACCCCCTCGCCTCAGACCTCTCTAGAGACTGTTTCTGGTGTACACAGTTAGGTGACACTTTCTATATTCATGGCATTGAGATCAGTCACTCTTGTAAAAAGCCTGACTTTTACAGTGGGGAATTTGCCCCACTGATGGTTGACTGACAGACTGATTGATTGGGTTATTTCTGGCTTTTAAAAGCAGGGTCTAGCTGTGTAGTTTGTTGTTTGTTTGTTTGTTTTTCTTTTGCACAGGGAAATTGAACTCAGGACCTTCCACTTGCCACGCAAGCACTTATGCCACGGAACTATAACCCCAGATCTCCAGCTGTGTAGTTGAGAGTGGCCTTCAATTTACTGGCAATCCCAGCCTCAGGTTCAGAGTGCTGGGATTACGGGCATGCACCACCACACCCACCATGTATTTGTTTGTAATGACTACAGAGCAGGAACTTTTTCCTCCTAACAGCTCTATTTTTAGTGTCCCTCAGAGTGCCTAGCACTGAGCCATGCTGGGGGAATGCCTGCTATTCTTTCTTTCTTTCTTTTTTTTTGAGACAGGGTTTCACTATGTAGTTCAGGCTGCCTTGAGCTCACTTGTAGTCCAGGCTGGTCTCAAACCTGCAATGATCCTCCCGCCTCAGCCTCTTGAGTGCTGGGATTACTGGTGTGCATCACTACGCCTAGCTGAATGCAGGCTACTTTGAACTATACATTCCCAGGGCCCAGCCTCGAGCTATCGAGAAGGAATATTGGGAACTAGCTCAGGAATGTTTCTCTGTCCAGGCAGGGCAGATGGGGAGGCTTGGTTTTCTGAGGGTCAGAGGACACTGCCCATGCCTGCTCCACCCCAGCCTCAGCATGCAGGGTTCCCCCTCCCCGGCCCACTGCCTTCTTCCCCCTCCCCCAAGGCTGGCCTTGGCCCCTGGAGCAACAGCCAGAAGGGGCTGAGAAGAAACGCTGGAGGGACTCCCGGGTCTCATCCTTGAGGCACTGTTTCCAAGCCCCCAGTGGGAATTAGGGTGGCCAGCTAGCTCAGGTATCTCCTACAGGCTGTTTTCCCTGCCCTGTGGGTTCCCCATCGCTACTCTCTGGCACCCCCTGGGGTTCATCCCAGATAATGACTTGGCTCCAGTCCTTGTTTCAGATAGCTGCAGCTGCAGGAGTTCCTCACTCTTTATTTTTGTTTTTGCCTCCTGACACACAGTCTCCCTTGTAACTCAGACTGGCCTCGAGCTACTTGCAATCCTCTTGCCTCAGTCCCCAGCATGCTCTGGGGTACCTTTGAGGATGTGGCGGCCCCTCGCCGGTGCCCGGTGTAGACCGTCACCAGGTAGTGGTACTGGGCAAAGGGATCGTTGTCCTCCAGCACGGTGATCTTCGCCTAGAGGAAGGGAGGGTTAGGACAATTCCCCGTCACACACCAGCAAGGACGAGCTGCCGCTCACGCCAGGCGCGGGGCAAGGCTGGCTGGGATGCTGCTCGTTCGCCCCAGTGGTGAGAGGTGTTCTGCTAAATCAAGCCCTGACGCGCTCACCAGTGTGCCCTAAGCGTCCCTCGGACAGTGTGTCTGTGTACGTACCGACTGTTCCTAGCACTGACCATTCCAACCGGATGAATAATTAATTATTGTATTGAATAAGTTTATAAAATTGTCATTTTTATATGTCCTGTCATATTATCTTACAAAATTAATAAAAAATATGCAATTTTTGGTCATCCTGTATTTAAATAATTGGACTTCTAAAGGATTAAAAAGCCCAAAGTAGTTTGGCAGAGGGGCAAATACCTGTAATCCCAGCATTCAGGAGGCTGAGACAGGAAGATCATCATGAGTTCAAGGCTAGCCTGGGCTACAGAGTAAATTCAAAGCCTGGCTGAATTACATAGCAAGACTCTCTCAAAAAGCCAAGACTCTCTCAAAAAGCCTGGGCTACAGAGTAAATTCAAAGCCTGGCTGAATTACATAGCAAGACTCTCTCAAAAAGCCAAAACAACACACACACACAGCCCAAAGTACATTCTGAATTAAATATAACTTTACTAGGGCCGGGGAGATGGCTCAGTGGAATAAGCACTTGCCTGGCAAGCGCAAGGACCTGAGTTCAATCCTTGGTTCCGCAAAAAAAAAAAAAAAAAAAAAGTTATATTAGAAATGAATTTGAGAGCCAGGTGTGGTGGCCCACATCTATAATTCCAGCACTTGGGAGGCTGAGGCAGGAGGATTTTTATGAGTTCAAGACCAGCCTGGGCTACCAAGTGAGCTCAAGACCAGCCTGAATGAGAGCCTGTCACAAAAAAAGATGAACTTGACAGTAACCTAAAAATACCATGATTGATCTGGTGAACCACACAAATTCTTCACATGAAGTGTCTCATGATGTTGGTAAATTTTTTTTCAGGGGAAATTATTTATTTTTAGGTTTTTCATTTCTCTCTTTTTTCTTCTTTACTTTTCCCTTCTTTCCTTTTATTTATGATAATTTTGGTGTTTTCTTGGGGGCAGCTTGAGATCAAATCTTGCTGTGTAATCCAGGCTGGCCTTGAACTCACAGTGAGCCTCCTGCCTCAGCCTCTTGAGTCCTAGAATCATGAGCATTATGCCAAGATTGCAAGGGTATTTAAAAGGAATGAAATATTAAGATGGTGTGGCAAAAGGAAAAAAAAAAAACAAACCCATTAGCTAGAGGTGACAGGAGGCCGCGTGGCCGCTGAGCGCTCTCCCGCGGGAGGCGGCGTCCCCATTGCGGGGAGAGCATCTTCAAGGGCCCCGCTGGGCCGGAGAACCCTGGCAGCGAGCCCTGCGCGCCTGCTCGAGGTGGGCGTCCACTTCCCGGGAGCTTGGCTGGGCGTGATTACGCACACACGGCTGCGTAAGCGCCACGTCACGCCCTGGGAGTGACGTTTCGGAGCGTTTCTAGCTCGGCCGCCGTGCTGCAGCCTTCAGGTCCCTCGATACTGCTGAGTGCTTCTCGTGCAAGGTAAGTTATCCGTCCAGCGTGGCGCGTATGTTAGAAAATTAACATTTTCTTTGTCGCTGCGTCGTTTCCCACAATTCCTTGCACAATCTGTTGTTGTTCGCTGTCTCTGCTCAGGCCTATCTTCCGCTCAGGCAGACCTGGCTCTAAACTCCAGCTCCTGTCTGACAACCTCAGGCCAGTGACTGACCTCTTGATCCTCTGATAACTCTTTGACATGACAGAAGTCTGTGCAATATGGGGGACACTCAGCCAACTTGGGGTTTCCAACCCACACACCTTGCGAAGGAGGAAGAGCAGGGAGGGGAGGGGGAGGGAAAAGGGAGGGGAAATGGGAAAGAGAAGGGGAGGGGGAAGATGAGGAAGAGGAGGAGGAGGAAGAGGAGGAGGAGGAGGAGGAGGAGGAAGAGGCGGAGGGTCATCACCACGGCAGCTGGGATGGTCTGCTATCTGGGCACCCCCAGTCCAGACATGGCGTGGGATGGGGGCGACTTCGGTTCTGTTCAGATCTAAGGTTCTCCATCTCCTGCACCCTGATGACTCTTTAAATGTGTCTTAGAAGGCACAATTTAAGGGGCTGGGGAGAATAAGTGCTTCCCTGGCAAGTGCAAGGATCTGAGTTCAATCCCCAGTTCCTCCAAAAAGAAAGAAAGCAAGCAAGCACAGTTTATTATAGAGCTTTCTGGCTTCGGCAGGGGCTGTTTGCTTGTGGGAGTCCACAGTGGATTTGGGCATTGAAATCCCAGACTGGGCAGTGGGGTGCAGCTCTTGTGGAGGACGAGCAGCCTGCAGGGTCTCACTTTCTGGCTAGGAGTGGGGCTGCGGGCCTGCTGCTCTGTGGCTGCTTGCCTTACAGCTTTACAGCGGGTGTGTCCCCCGAGGGTGTGGCAACACAGCCTTGCCCTTTGTGCCGGGGGTCTGGCGTAAGACAACAGGGCTCAGGCCTTGGGAATCTAGCCCTGCGGTTGCTCAGAGCCGTGCACGGTGCATCCTGAGGGGCGGGGCGGGGCGGACCCTGACATCTGGCTTCGTGGGCTCAAGGAGCGCTGCGCTGTCCCGCCTGGAAGCAGAGGCACCTTATTCACACAAAAA